GTCCCAGAGATCAAGAACTCCATGCGTGGTCCCTACTAGCAGCCAGTTATGCTTCCGGTCACAACAGAACGTTGTCGGTGTTCCGTGATGGACAGGATTCTGTAATGAATAGATGGGAAGCATAGACTTCATATCCAGAGCCAGGATGCGGCAAGTGTTGGTCGCAATCAACAGGGTGGATTGTGCATCAGAGCGGAAATGTTCGATCCAGAGCGCGTACTCGACAGACCCATCGTCAGTTGCCGGGAGTTTGTACTCACGTACGAGCTGGAGCTTCCCGTATCGAACCGTCTCATTGACATTATGGTAATCAACCTTCACGACATGGATGCTCCCATCAGTGGCACCGCTAATGAACGCATGAGTGTTCTCGACAAAGGTCAGCGTCTTCACCTTGGCTTCGCTGGAGTGACGATATGTCTGGCGGGATCTGGGCGTCAAGTTCTTCTCGAGTCGCGTCGTATCCCAGATCTTGACAGTCCCATCATCCGATGCAGTGATGAAAAAGGCGTGATCTGGAGCTACCACCACCCTATTCACCGGTCCGCTATGCTCGCCAAAGAGTGCAACGAGACTCCCTTCTGGCTTCCACACTTTGTTCTCGCCGTGGCCGCTGGCCTTCTTTATTGGACGGCGAGGGTCTGCCTCCTTGACAAACGGACCAAGTTCGAAAAGGTCGGTGGGGTAATTCTCTGCGAAAACACTGTCCAGCAGCCGGAGAATTACCGGGTCGTTGCCTGCGTAGGAATGATTAGCACGGTAGTGCTGTGGTTCATTGAGTCGCGCTTTCTTTTCGTGCGCCAGAGTCAATGCTGACGGCTGTGGTGAGTGACGCTGGGATGGCACATCGACTTTGCCGAATGCATTTGCAGAACTCATGCTGGTCTCCGCATACGCTTTTGATGATTCTTTGCGATTGAGGAGACTGATCGCACTTGACTTCTTCTCCACGTGGGTTGTGAGATGATTGTTTTTGACAGCCGGACTTCCCGCTTCTGTTGGAGTCGACGGGCTGTCCTGCCCCGGACTCTGTCTGCCTATGCTGCCTCTCCGTTCCGCATCGGAGTTGGGAGGGGATAGGGGCCGGGATTCTGGTGCAGCACTTGGTGATGATGCCACCGGGGAGAGCTCATGCGGATTCTCTGCGCGAAGATTGTCATGTGCCTCCTGTCTTGGGGTATCATTGGCGGTCGCTGAATCTCTCTGCAGCTGGCTGCGCGTCCTCAAGTGTCTCCGACGAGCGTGAGAGGCGCTGTCAATCGTAGTTGACGCATCCAACAGGGCATCGGTGATAGTGTGCGGCTTGCGTTCTCCCAATCCAGCATCGTCAACTTTGGGTAAGGGAGTGCCCTGGGGCTTGACGCTCTGTTGCTTATCAAAGAAGACAGTTTGAGGTGTCACTCCGTATTGAGTCAAAGCTATTACGTTGTTCAATGAGGACGCCGCATTGTCGGCCTCTTTCATCTGACGCATAGACACACCCCAAATGTAGCTTCGTAGAGCGAGCAACTTGAATTCGTCATCCGGACCGAGTCCCATGTTCCTTAGCCTAGATAGCCACTGCTCATCCTCCTCGTTTTTGGGTTGCGCGTTGTGTGAGAAGTTTGGGATCTTTTGGCCACCCTTCGGAAGGAAATTATCAGTGCCGCCCACACTGAACACTTCATCTCGAGCTGTCGACTTCCAGAAAAGACCTTTCTCCGCTTTAGAAGCCCAAACGAAGGCCAGGTCATATACACTCCTTGATAGAGGTTTCTTAAGACCATCAAGCAGTTTCTCTTCGGAGAAATCTACAATGTTGACTCTCAGGTATGGTTGGACGAGAGGACCCAGGATTGAGTACTTGTCGGCAATGGACAGGTGCTTTGCGCTATTGATGATGAAGCAAACGGCTGCTTCACGAATCCACGTGTTTGGATGAACTAAGAAACGCACGACGATCTGAAGGACCTCCCAAGTCGTGGATCGCTGGAAAAGACCAAGGTCAGCCATCGCTGCCAGGGATCGAAGCACTCTCTCAACAACAAATTCCTCGGGCTCGGTCATAGATTGGATCATCAAAGGCAATATATACTGCTCCAAACTCGTACTTCCAACGTAAGCTGCGACTCCGACGACTGCTTCAAAGAACGCACATTTCAAGATCCAGTCCCGATCGTTCAAATAAGTGTTCAAATGGCTCAAGATCACTTCGTTTGTCTTGAGGTTACCGAAGAACACACAGAGACTGGGCACTGAGCCTAAGAATGCACGGCGGACAGATGCGTCAGTGTCGGTAAGGAGAGCTTTGGTATGATTCTCAAAATATTCGAGAAGGTCTACCCTCGCAACGTCATAGAGGTTGTGAAATGTAGCATCCTCAGTCCATCTTGGCTCGGAGCCTGCCGGTATAAGGGCGGAAAGACGAGTATCAGAGCGTAGAGCCTGGATCATATCTAAGAATCTCAATGAAGATTGGGCTAGTGAAGAGATGCAGGAGGCATACGCAGCGCGCACCATCGGGCTGGGATTGGAGCTGGAGCTAGAGACGAACGGTTGCAGCCGAGGGAAGATGTATTCTGGGAAGAGATACGCGTTCACCGGCGAGACGACCTGCACCATCTCCAGCAGCTGCGCAAGAGTACGAATGGCGGCAACTTTCACACTATCTGTGCGGTCGTTTAGAAGGATCATAATGTAAGGCAAAATACGATCAAGCTTCGCCTCATCCGACAATCTCTCTGCAAAAGCAAGCAGGATATCGCAAGCTTTGACTCGGGCAGATGCCCTTGCTGTGTTGCGCAGACTAGACACGACAAGCGTTAAGAAGATCAGAACGCCATCGTCAGTTCGGAGCTGAGACTTCGCAGCCTGTGGCCCGTAGTTCGGGAGATCAAGGTGGATCGGGAACGCGTTCCCAGTGAGCCTGGGGTTACTGCGACTAGAGCCATCCTTCACAGGCTTCGAAGATGCACTCAGGAAGTAAGATATTTTATCAAAATCGTAGTAAACCCTCTCAATCCTGTCATCTGCCTCGCCCCTGTTTGCAGATTCCGCTTCCACTTGCGCCCTGCCCGACGAAGGGTCTGTCATCAAAGACATGTACTGATGAAGAAAGCTGTAGAAATATTCCGGGAAAGCTTTGTTTTTCCAAAAGTTCAGGTATTCTTCAGCAGAATATCTCGACTCTGGCTCAAGCTGGATCATGTGAAGGATCATCTCTCGAATCTCCGGATCCTCAATTTTGACCAGCTGGCTGTGTTGCGGACTGTATTCGCCTTTGCGGTATTTGTACATCTGGCTTAGTGTGAAGATGGGCGCTTCTAGGAACAGCTCTGCAATCACGCAGCCAGCACTGAATATATCCATGGCCCAATTCAGACGCCTATTCCCTGGCTCCTCCCCGACCTCGAGGAACCGCTCAGGGGCCAGATAGCACGTTCGTCGCCCTGAGGTGTCAAAATAGAAAGAAAAGTCCGCAGGATTGTCCTCCGGCAAGAATGTTGGCTTGAAAGACGATGAGAAGTCCGTGAGGTACAGCCAATTCCATGATGTCACCAAGATGTTCTCCGTCTTGATGTCGCCATGGAACACATCCAATGAGTGACAATCCCGAAGAGCGCATAAAAGTTGAAATGCAATCCATTTCTTCTCGATTTCTTCTGGAAATGGTCGAGTGCTGCCGAGGTCAGAAAATTTCTGGCTGATAATATGTACGAAGCATACCTCATCCTGTCATATAGAGAGCTGTGAATATATTGGCGAACCAGATAACCCCCGGTGCCGGTCTCCAAAATTCTTTGATGGCTCAAAGCATTTGGGACATCAGAAAGCAGTTTGCGCTCCCCTAGTACGTTGTCAGAGTATATCCAGAGCTGTTGCACGGCAAAAACAAACTCACGAATGATGGCTTTGACATAGGATTCTAGCTTCATGCTGGGGTAAGGCTTCATGATTACCTTTACAAGAACGAGGCCATTTTGCTGTCTTGCTCGGATACTTTTCATGAACCGGCCACCACCCATAGACTTCTCATACATCAGATCTGATAGCTCGGGAACATCTATCCCAGCCGAACCCGTTGAAAGGGTTGTGAGGGAGTAGCCTTGCCCCATAGTGTCGCGACGACCTCATCTCAAGAGCTGACAAGAATCACGAATTTCATCCACTAAAGGTAGATAGGGCTTCAACAAATCTCCAAACACAAGCCTATAACGTTGATAGAGTTGATATTGCTATTGAAGCGATCTGACGCAAACTCTCTGAATAAATGCCCACTGATCATTATGTCCTGACATAAGACTCGGGTGACGGCGATGATGGGGTCACATGACTCTCAGGCGGTGTAGCTGCTCCTTACAACACTTATTGTGCCCTATCACTGGGCCAAGTCTTCCCCATTAATTGCTTGTTTTCTTTGGATAGATCGTCAATTTTTAGCGTGGAGATTTCCTTCTTACGCCGCCGAATAATGTTCTAGGAGTTTACCAACAATTACACTTCCTTCGCATCTTGGATTTGAAGAGCCCTTTCAAGGTTCACCGTTTTAGGATCCTGAAGTGGTCTAACATCAAGCTAGCACCGCAAGTTAACTAAAGTACGGAGTAGATTTGCACCAGCTAGTCTTTGGCGTCCAATCAAACAGTTTCGTCAGAGAGACAGCTCGGCCGTCCTTCTCCCTGAGCTTTCCACACTCTCGACATAATATGAACGACTTTGAATTTTCGCAACCCGGCTCCTGAATTATGGGTCAGGATACATAAGCCCCGCATCATACTTTACCTGGTGTAGGCTATAAGAAGGCCAGTGCCCGGTATCGAGGGCTTGAACTGAATTTCTCTCACCAACACAATCAAACGACTGACATACCGATCGTCGTTGACATAACGTCATTCGTGGTTATTGTAGGACACTTCGTCGCGTCGCGATTGTTTCGGGGAGGAAAGTAGCTGGTAGTCGCAAGACTCGAAAGAGCATTCGCGAAAAAGACTGAACGATTACTTACAAAAGCGTCCATCAGGATGGCTGCGCCGGCAACAGATGTCTTACCGACCAGTGATGAATATCCAGAGATTCCTATTATCGATGATAATGAGAGTCTTGCTGAGGTGATTCGAAAATTAGGGAAGTAAGTTCAGCATGCATTTGCCCAACTTATCTCGGCGGGTCTAACCTGGCATACCACCAGTTACCTCAATGTAGCTGTACCTGATGTTGCGTGTACATTTGAGCAGCTGAGATCTTCTGCCTATGGACACAAGCTCAGGCTCCTCATAGGCTCTCTGGCTGAGAATTCACACAATCCTTGGATTATCTCCGCTTTGATGTAAGTTGAAAACGAGATTTATCTTGCAGAAGAACGACTCCTGAGGATCACTTGTATTAGGATCTTGAAATGGCAGTTAAACAATGAAGACAACGACTCCGACTGGGGGTTGAACGAAAGTCGGGGTTATGCGTGTGAATACATTGCCTGGCAGTTTCTTTGTCACCTCACACGACGGGAGATGATAGATGTACTGCTTGACGAGCTTCCCTCTCCCCGACGAGATTCCGCAACAATCTCACAGGCCGAGCAAGGTACATCTGGACTTGGATCAATCTCCCATGAAGATGAAGGCAACGAAACAGAAGGCGAAAGGACCCCGCTATTGTTGAGCTCTTCCTCGTCTCTCTACCGATTCTTTGTCGGCAAAAGCCACCGAGGTGACTCTTGCACTGGGGACAATCGGGAATCTCGGGCTTGGTATTATGATGATCCCGAACTTCATTCCTTCTCACCTTTTTTTGGTCTCAACGCTCTGGAAATCGCAACAATCGCCCATGCTAAAAAGTTTCTCAGCCAGAAGGCTGTTCAAAGGGTGATAGACGATATCTGGAATGGGGAGATTGTTTTTTGGGACTCATTGAGTGTACATTCCAAGAAGAAGCCTCAGTTTTTCAACAAACGGTATGATAGAACCTTCCAAACATTTACGGTTTACTAATATTTTCGCGTTCCGCGCTACAGGACTGCGGATCCATACTCAAGATTAAGAGTTCCAATGTATCGAAAAGCGTTTGAAGCCGCTTTTTTCGTTTCTTTCTTGTTCCTATACTACGCAGTCCTTGTTGAGAGAAAACCTACCGGCATAGGCATATTCGAGACGTTGATGTATGTCTGGATAGCTGCCTTTGCTTATGATGAACTGAGTGGCATCGTCGATGCGGGGATGCTCTTCTACCAGATGGATTTTTGGAGCCTCTGGAACATGGGCATAATTGCCATTGGGCTTGCCTTTATTATCGCGCGTGAGTCATTCGCCCCTGTAGCAATACCTGGGCCAGCTCCGGCGAAGGCGAACAAGTATGCATCGCTGTTTTTAGTTCTCCTTACTGATCTGGGTTCGCAGGTATCGTCGGACTGGCCAAGGAGAGCGATTATATCACGGACTTATCATTCGACATACTGTCATTGGAGGCTTTGTTTTTGGTTCTAAGGCAAGGCTTCAGCTACCACCGATGATTGATTGGCGCCTCGGCTCACAACGTCGACTAACATGAGCAATCCACAGGATTTGCTCACTAGTGAGCTTGAACCCGTATTTTGGCAGCTTGGTACGCTGGGCTATCTTCTTCATGGTGGACCACCTTCCGGAATACATACTGACAAGCTGCTGCGCATAGATACCTGTTTTGAAAGAGATGGTACCGCTCTCAATATCTCGGGGTAAGCCGATTGGTGTAAGGCTGATTGATATGTTCTAGACCAAAGCCTTTTTCAGGTTCCTTCCTGTGGTTGTCGTTTTGTACATTGGTGAGTAGCTGAAGGGCTCAGGTCATGTCGATTTATGCCTCATACGAGCTGAACTTGCTACCAGGGTTTCTGACGACATTCACTATGCTTGCCCGTGACCGCCTGTCTCTGCGGCAAATGTCATGGATTCTTGTGAAAGTATTCTTTGGGTATGTCGGTGAAGATTCCCTATTTCCGACCGCTCTTTTGACTGACAATGCGAGGCAGATCGAGTGTCTTAGGATTTGTACGCTTCTTCCTCATTGTTCTGTGGTAGAAGAACATTCTTGACTGACGGTGGCTTGATCGATTGGCTATTAGGACATCGCATATGATGTAAGTCCGTTGCTCTAAGTGGCTGTCATCCACGATGTGATAGGATGCCGACGGGTTCGGCGGAATCGATAGGCTCTCGTGTGAAGATAGTTAACGCGCTAATTTCTTAGATTTCTCCGATCTTTGGCTATGGTTTGATGTGAGTTTGATATACCTCTCCTACTGCGCCACACGAACCATTTGAACAGTCAACCGCATACAATTTTAATCACGTTCAATTTTGAAGTGGCTATGAATCTCGTCTTTCCTTCCTATTTCTTACTTTTATTTTAATTGGTTTATTTACTTTTGTCTTCTTTCTCTAATTATTATTTTGTTTTTTCCGGATTGTTGCTGGGCGTGTGGTGTGTGGGGGGTTGGCGCAGTTAGACGCCCGGCACCAGTCACCTTTCAAACGAACCGCCTGACAATTGGATATACACGAAGCTTTCTGACGGAACATTGAAAGTGGAGCGAGAAGGAAGGATGGCGAAGAGCTCAAACGAAGAGATGACTAACGTCCACACTCGACAGGCTCTTGTTCGTGTCAATGACAAATTTGTTATTGATCTCCTCTCTGGTTAGCTTGATGAGCATGAGTCTAGAAGGGGTGCGTTTATTTTGACTCACTTTGAAATCTCATCTGCAGATTGCTAATGAACCCGAATTATAGGTCATGGCTCATGCACGAGAAGAGTATCGTTTCCAGTTCGTAGCACCTCTGTCGCGCCTACTGATTCGATCTCCAACAGTCATTAATGTGTTGCCAATAGGTTATCCATTTACGTCCTAGAAAGCAGCAACTCTAGAAGACTAACTTATTTTATGCCACCTTTGGTAAGTCCTATCGTGGCTAACCTATGCCCAATGAACACGACTTAGCCGTTAGCCTACCGACTTTGGCTTGGTTACTTATATTAGACTTTATACCAATGCTAAACGGCACAGAACCTCATCCCACTTCTCTGCATTCGGCCCCTAAGGCTGTTTCTGCCCGCAGGGCATATCCGTCGAGTTCGCATTGTTCTGCTCCGGGCAACCCACCTTCCTTTTGTGGCCTTGATCTGGGCTTTTGAGTCTAGCCACCGCTATGTTTCGCAACGAAACAACCAATTCCCCCCTACTCAAACGACTTCTACCTCTTCCATCCAGGCTAACTTCCCTTTCTCCACGCGCCACGCTCCGCTCCATGCCTCCACAGTCGATACGTCGCAGCTGGGTTGTGGGAAATCCAAGGGATCGAGCAACGCGGCTCAGCATGCGGAAGCCCGCGGAGTGTGTGGACTGACTCCGAATCAGGCCGGGCGTAATGACTTGGCGGATATGATCGACGAGCTGGAACGGTTGCGCACCCAAGTGGAGCGCGTAGCAGCTACAGTAGCTTTTCACCAACGAAATCGACTGTGAGACCGTGGAACAGTCATTAGAGCAGAAAATAAGAGCATGCTAGATATTCTGAGGCTAATTACTCCGTCGACTAGTTTCAGACTTCCATTAGAACAGACCACGACCTAAAATGATAGAGACACGAACTGGCCTGATGGCTGGCCCCATAGTCTAAAAAACTAGCGCGAGCACCGGCCACCGACAAGTCTGACTACCAACAATGGTTCAAGATGTGACCCTCGGATGTTGTTACTATTATTGCTTAGATGCCTTGGCACCAATATGCAGATAGTGTCTGTGGATAAAAACCAAGTAAATATGCATGAAAATATGGAATACTCTGACGCTCATTACCTTCTGCCCCTTAAGTCTATTCTTATCGCACCTTTGTTGAAATTCCTTTCTTAAACCCTAAAAGGTATACCTGAGTCATTCCCGTGATTTGAAGATTTTCATGATCTCCCTTGGCATTGCAAGTATATCTATCCTCACCACATGATATGAAGAGTATTGGCTCCTGGAGAATTAATCTCAAAGACTGAGTCATTTGTCCTGCGGTAGTCCGAGCGCCCTCATCCTCAAACCAACGGTTACCTTCTAGTATAGATAAGGTATAGAGTCACTTTTGGTAAATTGAAACATTTACTTGGCAGCCTGGTTGTGAAGAGACATTATTAGTAGTAAAGGTACTTTGTAGGCAATGCCCTCTTTCCCCTGTTCCTGGGATTAAGAGAGGGGAGCGGCTCGACCAGGTGCTGGGTACTCCTGCTTCTTCGTCTTCGTCTCCCTCTCTTCTCTTCTCGTCAACAACGACATCCTCTGCATCAACTTTGCAACCATTAACCAACCGCTTTTCCGTCTCCCAACATCACATCCTGCAGGCCTCCCTTGTTTCTTCACACGCTGACTTTCTTCAAGTCTGTTGCCAACTCTTGATTTCTGGGATCCCGCAGCTGTGCCAATCACACCAGGCGACACGCACTGCTCATTTGCCAAGCAAGGTACCAGACTGTCGGGTCGCAACTAAACCTCTTTGATGCTCGTCTCGCAGCAGGAAAAGACGAAATGAGTGATCCGGCGGCGATGATCGGGGGGAACAAGGTGGCAGTGGCATTCCCTCACCCCCCAGAAACTAGGAGGACGCGGTTATTCCAGTCGCAGAATGTGAAGAGAGAACGGTGAAGCACTTATCATTATTCTACTCATCCCATTCTTCCAACTGGTCTTCCTTCACTCTTATGCAACCCCCTGGTCCGGTGGGCTGCTAAGATAGGTATTTCCCTTCTCTCATCACCAATCCATTTCTCTGCCCCCCTCTTACTACTGTTTTTTATTATTATTACTTGTTTTCCTTATGGATTATTCCTTTTCAGACCCTGTCGGAGCACAGTACCATACAGCAGGCCCCAGTGGGCTGCCTGTTTCTCCACCCTTTTTTTCTTCGACCACACCAAGCGTCGCCCCCTCAAATCCCCAGGAACATGGATCAGAATTAATAATTTGACAACTCGGGCTGATCACACATTTTCGGCGCTAAGTCATTGCGCACAAGTTTCCATCGTTGCGCCTATCTGAATGTTGCAGACATGGCCTGCAATGATCAGTCCAGCCCGGCCCTGCCCAGCTAGCTTTCCCACGAGACCCCCTTCACAGTCTCTCTCCCTCCTCCACCGCATCCTTCTCTTCACTTCTCTTCCAAGTCTGCCTTGCCCACTCAGGCGTCAAGGTAATTGCTTCCCTTGTGTCTACTGCGCCGATGCGGCGGGAAATGTACACAGGTGAGCGTCATATGGCTGAATCTCCTGTCGTCTTCTCAGCCGCTACACATGTTCGCCGCAATTCTTACCCTGCAACAGCATTGCTGTTGAGTCAAAGCACTGCTTTATATAATTTACATGCTTTCGTCTTGGTTCTTTGATATTAATATCTTTTTCCATTCGTGTGAGGTCTCGACTGTGAGGTTGCAAAGTGATCCGACTCAATTTACCCGGAGTTTGCAAAAGAACAAGCCAAGTGATTCACCCTTCCAGACAACAATTCTCCTTGCGATTGTGACAGCACAACTCCTGGTCATGAATTGGACCTCCGAATCCTTCTCGTCCGCTTCAACCTATGTTCCCTCTTCATCTGAGGACAACTCGATGATAGAGACAACTCACGGTTACGCGACAGAGGCCTTCGCGCATGCAAACTATCCCAACAATTCACAGCCACCTACTGGTCTTGGAATCACTTATGTTGGTATGGAGGCTCAGTTCAGTCAGATGGGACTTTGCTCTGTTCCAGAAACACTGACCCAACCGACGACCGACTGGCCTGATCAATTGATGCAGTCCGTATTCGAGCCCTGTCTGGAGGTTGAAAATCTTACCACTGGGGCATGCTACGAATCCTTCCCTGTTCATCATGATGTGTCCACCTCTCCCCACAGCCTTTATAGTCCGCAAACCCTAAGCGCATCACCGAGTTACTGTTCGACCTTGGATGTGGGAAATCAGGGTACAACGTGCAGCCAGACGTCCCATAGGTGGCCGGGTACGCCTTGTTCGGACAACACCACTCCTTTTGAGGGATGGTCTCACGTAAAGCAGGAATATGACGACTGCCCGGATCCGCTTCTCTACTCTGAACCGAGTGATGCGTCTGGAGTCTCTACGTCCACAACAATACCTCAGCTGATGGTGAACAACACCTTTGCAGTCACGGCATCCCCTGGAAAAGAGAAAGGCGACACCGCTCTTAAGCCTGATCCGATATTCGAAGACTCCATGGGCCACGATCAGACGGCAACAATACCTCAGTTCACCGCTCGGGAGGGCACGACGACATCAAACGATAATGACTCATGCAAAGTGACATCTGCAAGCGGCCTCATCTGTCCCGTGTGTGGCACCCGCTTCACTCGACGCTCAAATTGCCGGGAACATATGAAAAGACACGATCCCAGCTGCAGAAAACTCTACCCGTGCGAGGCTTGTGGAAAGACTTTCGGAAGAAGGACTGACTTGAAGAGACACGTGGACAGTGTAAGTCGTGTTGGCCGGCTCGCTGTCTATTGCTAACCCACGCGAAAAAAAACAGATTCATCATGGACTGCGGAAATTCGGTTGTGACCAGTGTGACCGGCGTTTCAGCAGGCAAGACACTTTGGCAAGGCAAGTTCGCACTTTGTACCTCATCTTATCCCATCTCAATTCTAACGCGGGCGCTTTACAACAGACATAAGGCATATGGTTGCCGACAAAAGTCGCGAAGATCCAGTCCCAAGAAAGGCAAGGAACCTACCGGTTCCCCCTCCGAACCCATTTCTTCTGGCTCGTCACGCATACATTTCCAAACCAGCAAATGATTTTGAATCGGCAGCCGTCGAACAATGGTGATTTCGGAGCTCGATACGGCATCACTGAAGAGACGACGGCCAGGCCACGCAATTTGCGTTGACCGCAAATTGCCGGTGGCCTACATACTACCTCGTAAAGTCTTCTTTTGCAAGGCTAATGCGAAGGTTCACCATTGACACTGCATACATTCACGATAGAATAGCAAATACCCTTTGAGCATTTATGGGAGGCTGTTTTCTATAGCATTTTCACTTACGCAAGCGGCAGCAGAAGGCAAACGAAAGACATACCGGCGTTCTTTTTCTCCTCATATTGATTGATTTTGTTTCTTTGATTGCATGAATCTCATTGGCGAAGGACAAAGCAGTCTTTAGGCTGTCAATAACTGGCATAGCATAACATGTAGAGATAGGAACCAGGCGTTGACCACTGCGAGGTCATGCTGAGCGTGATGATTCGCAAGAAGCATTGATATTTTTGATCCTTAGCATCAGTCAGACACAGCATCTGCTTAGTTCATCCTTCGCGTCGGAGAACTGATTCAGTGCAACTCATGCGGCCGTCTGGAGTTTGACCATCTGGCAGTCTTGGAGCAAGTTAACTATAACATAAGAGGTCAAGATGTTTGTGCCAAGTAATTTCACTTCTGACAAACCCAACAGAATAAAATATTGGGCGACCGGAGATCCTGAACTTGATCCCCGGCGCTTTGAGAGACTTCTCGGCTCTGACCGTCAGGGGACTGGCTCCGCTCTGGATTCGGAATCTGGATCTAGGTGCGACAAACAAACAAACTGTTCCCCATCTGCTCCGTCACCTGCGTGAAGTGCAACAAACCAAATATGGCCTGGTTGCTGAAAGATGCAAATACCAATCTTGGCTCAGTAATAATAGAGGTCATTAGTCTACTGATCTATCTCAAATCAAGGTCACACTCATGTCGAGAGTGATGCGACTCAGAGCCATGGATCTGCTTTGGAGTCCAGACTCGTATAGGAATGTTCGTCCAGGCAACGAATTAGCCGATCGTTATATCAAGGCGACGGGGATCGGCACAGTGCTAGGCTGAATATGCCGAAGTTCGTTTCATTCGATACAGCAAGTAACACCTTACCTTATGCTCGGTCAATAAAGCTCGTATCGGATACCCCTCCCATTGGCAGTGTTGCTATTGAAAAGCCCACCGAAGGTACTTTGTACTCGGATCTTTCCTTACTCGGAAGACGGATATTCGGAGTTCGGGGCTCACTGTACACCAAGGTAATACCCTCCGTAGACCAAGGAAGTGCGCATACGACTGCTCAGAATGAATCTGCTGCAAAGCTTCCGTCTTCTCCATGATTGAGCCCTCTCCTTCCATGGTGCCCCACTTGTATGAACTAGCCAATTAAAATTACCATTATATGCACTAATCTGTATCAGGATTTATCACAGTTAGTATATCTTTGGCCTATTTGATTGATTTCGGGCCTTCTTTTGTTGTACCGTCCGTCTTTTCTCATTATTCAAGGGTCCATCGCAAAGGATGTGGGAGATGTCTTCCCCGCTGGCATACGAATAGACGAATAGAACAGTCCTTCTGAACTTCGATTGGCGCCCAACAATAATTTGCTTTTCGAAGCGAAATAGCATACGGAGTAAGTATAAACCAGCCATGACAACCGGAGAAGTAAGGAAGATAGAGTACCAGTTGTCACCTATGACCAGTCGACCACTGCATATCTAGCCAATACTCCAGCTGTCGGAGTGATAGATTGCGAACTCATGTTTTGATGCCGTACTCGATACTACCTTACTTGGTAGGTCGTTGCATAAGTTACAGTCATGTGAGGGCCGTTATCTCTCCTTCCCTGACTGACACGAGCTTACGAGGTCTGGAGTATTTTACCGACGAGCAGGTGAGAGTATTGGGATCGCTTGATCGAACCCCTGTTGCTCCAACAGGCAGCAAGATCCTGCTTTGAGTCACGTCAATCCATCATCATGGAGTGTGCCTCTCGAGTAATTGCACAATCAATTGATGGAATATATCTGTAGTTTGGGCAGTGATTTCGGGGACAATTCGGGACAATTAATACATGAAAATATGTCTGTTTAACAAACAATGACTACTTGATAGCTGGAGATATTCACACACCTCCGCTGCTTCTTCATTCATTGGTTATTAATGAGCATCGGGACTCCGGATATTGCCTTATTTGAGTGTTTGCTCTATCCATATCATCTGACCAGGGCGGCCATTGAGAGAGGGATTCTATGGGATTGCATAGCAGGTATGGTATGACAGGATCCCTGTTTGTCCGGGTGAGTAAAGGTGAGTGGTTTGTCAGATGGAAGTCTGCAGCAGGTGGCAATTATTCAAATTGTCTTCAGCTTATTATTCACTAGACAGTGTACTGGGTCAGATGAGGACAGGGCAGGAACCTCGCAGTCCAAGAAAAGTCTTCACATAAGGGAGGTTGTAGGAATTTCATCAAATGCTTGCTCAATGCCAGACGCATACGGAGTACATAGAAAGATGCAATGTGATAATAAGGCAAGTCAGTCATTGACCAGTACACACGACAATAGGAACCCTTGCCTTGAGATGTGGGGGGGAGTCAATGGGAAACAACAATGGTAAGCACAGCTGATTTGGTGGCGGTGTTGTGAATTCTGCACTTGTTCGCCTCACCGCTTTGGAATTATGGGCGGGGTTTTCCCTTTATGAACAACCAAGGGGCTACAAAACCGTACAATCGTTTGACGCTTCTTCAGAACGCTCTAAAGGCCTGTCAATCTTCAGGCAAACTATCAAGTAGTTTTCCAGTTTGATAGTACACTGTCCGGAGTACATACCAAGATGACAGCCACTACAACAGTTACTGCCCCCCCAAGAATTACGGCGGAGAATGTCGCCACTCTCTTCCCCGAAGTTGATACATCGCTGGCTCGGGAGGTTTTCCCCTCGACAGCGGAGGGCTCCGCCAAAGACAGCGAAGAGCTCGCTGGTTATGATGAGGAACAGGTCCGTTTGATGGACGAAGTATGCATTGTTCTAGATGACGACGATAAGCCGATCGGCAGTGCCAGCAAGAAGGCCTGTGAGTGTCACGATTCATTGTTTATCTTTCGGGTGTTTCCTAAAAAAAAAGTCTACTAACCAATGTCATGGATAGGCCACCTCATGACCAACATCGACCGGGGTCTGCTTCACCGTGCATTTTCAGTTTTCCTTTTCGACTCCAACAACCGGCTGCTACTGCAACAACGTGCTTCCGAGAAGATCACCTTCCCCGATATGTGGACGAACACCTGCTGCTCTCACCCATTGGGCATCCCCGGCGAGACCGGTGCTGAGCTCGAAGCTGCTGTGCTGGGTGTGAAGCGTGCCGCGCAGCGGAAATTGGACCAGGAGCTTGGAATCAAGGCGGAACAAGTACCTCTGGAAAAGTTTGAGTTTTTCACGAGGATTCACTACAAGGCGCCCAGTGACGGCAAATGGGGCGAGCATGAGAGTATGTACCTGATATCATGATGGGTTCCGGATTCGCTTTTGCAGCCGTTGCTGACACACAGACTTTAGTCGACTATATCCTCTTTATTCAAGCGGATGTCGATCTGAACGTGAACCCTAACGAAGCCCGCGATACGAGATATGTCAGCGCCGAGGAATTGAAGCAGATGTTCACCGAACCCGGCCTCAAGTTCACGCCTTGGTTCAAGTTGATTTGCAATTCGATGTTGTTCGAGTGGTGGAGTCACCTCGGCACCGCGGGCCTGGACAAGTACAAGGGGGAGAAGGAGATTCGCCGCATGTGAGAGGTCTGCGCAACGAGAGTACGGTGAAGGATTCTTTTGTTTATAGCCAGCCCTATCTGGCATTTTAATATTCTGTTTGGAGAATAGCATGATACCATACTATGGCATGAGCCAGTCACTTTATAACACGATTTCTCGATAAGGAGCCAATCGATATTCTTTTGGGTTTACAGAACTCGACAATGTCGTCACTTTGCCGTTTCATGGGAAACCATTAATTGTCCTTGCAGGCCATAAAAGCTACGAAAGACGAGCATCGAATCATGCACCTCTCCCAAAAAAGCCGACTGCAGCTACCGTCGAGTCTCCGCTCCAGTGACAATAAACAAGATACAGCAGGCGAAAATCACCACTCCAACCACAGTAAATGTCAGCTGCGTTCTCCACCCACTCTGCACCAGGGCCACCTTCCGACTATATTTCACGACCGTCCGGATATAGTTCCCGAACCCGTTCACAAGACAAGTCAGACTTAGAACCCAGAAGATAACTCCCAGCGGAAGGGCCAGGCGGCGTTCAAGTCCCGTTGGTTGAGAGCGGAAGTGGAACGAAATGATGATTGCTATTGAGACAACGGCGAGGTACATGGATAGCCGGAGCCAGGAGAGGAATGTGCGTTCATTTGCGCAGTGATCTCGAGCGTCGGAGGCGACGTTCTCGAATAAGAGAGCGCCGAAGAGAGGGCGGCTAAGGAAGAGGTGTTTCTTATCCTGGAGATGTCTGGAGTATTGGGTTAGCTACGTAAACTCTGGCCAAGGGATGCTATCAAGGCGATCGGAGAAGACAGAGTGGGAGTATGGCGGTCTTGAACCTGCCTGAATGTTGCCCTGCTCCGAGTAGAATAATAACGGCGACGCATACGTAGGGTTTTACTTACTCCTCTACTAGCACTGGATCCGAGTTGGTGACGTTAATTATCGGATTGTATCGCGGCCGTAGAGAGGATGGATCCTGCCTTGCCGTGCTTTCAGGCATCTTGAGTATGAATAAAATTCTCGCAAGAGAACCTCCAGAAGGTGTATTTCATCCAGGGGCAGCTATGAAATTCATGGCGAGGAGATAGCCACGACTCCTTCATAGTGAGGTAGGATTAATTAACACTTGACTCCAGTTATTGACCAATCCGATGACAGGAGCACGTGATATGCATCTGCTAGTCCACTTTGAGACTGATGTCATGTGTCAACTGGCGCCCTGCAATTGATTG